TGTTCACATTGATGTGTTGTAGCATACACACAATTGAACATACAATGCACACATTCCCTGGAGTTTGGAGTTACACATCTAAAAGTATTTTATGAACTGGGTGGAGACTGAGTCATAACAATCAGTACCACGAACAGACACAATACACCATTATAACGTCAGAATGCCTGGATGAGCGAGCGGTGGCCTGTGGGTTCTTCAAATATCTCTTTAGATCCTCTCCGTTTATTAATTTCTCTCCACAGACTGACAGCAGCTGATCAGAGGGCGATATGGGACACAACGGCTCCTTCCCTCTATTTGCCCGTCAAAATTCACATAATCACTCTAATATCTAGAATGCGCAGGCTGATTCCTGCTCAGACACCTGTCAGTCATCATCAGGGGAAATCAGCCTCACAGACAGAGCTGTGATTATTTCCTCCTGCAGCAGCATGGGGCCGGGGGGGCTCATGCCATCTCTGATATGTCATTTGGAGGATTGTGCTCTTGTTACTGGCAAACACTCACGGGAAGTGTCTGCTCTTTATATAATCATCGCCTTATGCCATATAAAGCATTTTTGTGAAGACCCTGTACAATATTTCAAAGATCCAATGAGACACCTCTATGGCCAGTGTGTGAGGAACGCTGCACCGCTGACACAACAACTTCAAAATAAAAGTGAGAGATTAGAAATCCAGATGACTTCTTTCAGTTTTCTAAGGAAATTACTATTGCATGCTCATTCATGACTTTTTACAATACCAACACCTTGCATGTACAACGCCTTATAGATCACAGTTTGTGTCCTATTAATGATTGGGTTATTTACATTTGCACAAGTGTGTAGATAAAAATGGAATTGCTACCATTTGTGAACACTTTGATATCACTGTAATTCACTGTGTCCATGGTATGGGTAACTTGCAAAGCTGTAATTGGGTTTCTGGATGAAACCCAATAATAGCAGTGGTGAAGGTACTAAACCGAAAATGTAGAAATTCTTAAAATATTAATTATATATTTTCTTTTTTGTGAAATGTTGGATAATTTCACCTCTTTCGGACAGACTTCGACTTCAGAATATTAACATCAGGTAGTCTTAGGTAGAGGATATGATGACATAGTATTGGGACTCGACACACTTCAAAATGTAAAACATAGAAATGGTGCTCACACTCCCGAGTCCTTAAAGTTATTCTCCCCAAACTCTGTCTCCCCCGTGTCTTCCCTCCCTTTGTGTCTCATTTCCAGCCACCAGTGGAGTGTTTCACTCAGAACTATGGGAGACATGTGGATAATGTGGGTACAGTAAATGCAACAGGGAGATGATAACACCTACAGTGAGCCTGTTTCTCTCTGTCTGTCTGGATGAATGAAATGAAATAAGCATTATTTATTTCACTTTTAGTCCAAGTAGAGATACTGTATGAATGCACTTTGCAACTTCAAGTCTCAGTAATGATCTTATGTGTCTGTAACTATCAAAAACTGTGTAATACTAAAGTGTGCTTCGTATTTTATAGCCTACGCCAAGGAAGTCTGAAATTCTGATTATCTTTCATTTTCCTATTTCCAGTTGGGAGAAAATCATATTTGAAGTCCTGTAACAATAGTTTCTATACATGGGAGCTCTGCTAGATGTAAACAGGAAGAATAATGTTGCCATGGTGACACTTGCTAATAGATGAGAGCAACTCATCCAGGTACTTTTCCTCATGGTCACGCCTCTTTTTGGGTGAAAATATCTGCTGTCATTTGACTGGCAGTAAATTCAAATTCTGATGTCTTCTCCAATCCGATCAGAACATTAAGAATACTGTGCAATTATTATCTACATGGAGCCCAAATATAATGGTCAGTCAGGCAAACAATCACTCAATATCACTGGAGATCGATGATCGGCAACGATATGTTGGAAGTACAAAACAATAGGGGATCGATTTCCTTTTCAATCTAATGGTTGACGAGTGGCTAACTCTAACCTGGGATTCCCTTGGCTTGTCAGTGTTTTATATTTTATTGAAGCTTCTATATTCATTACCTTGACAACTGTTTCTTTTGATGATTGACGTTAACCTCATTAGCATCATAATGTAGCTGTGATGTTTCCCACACACGTGCAGTATTGACTGATGGTCCAATAGATTACGTTGATGGTCCTCTCTGTTGAGACACATATCGCTACTTTTACTGTCCTTTTGAAGTGAAAGTAAGAAAATATTATTGTGTATTTATTTAGGTATTTAACGTGCAATACACTGCAGCAGCTTTTAGACGCTTGGAGGTGATTCTTCGTTTCACTGGAAAGTGGCCGGACTGTCATTTTGCAGGGACGTAGCACTGCTCTCATTTATTGGCTAGAACCTTAGTCTGCTTTTAAATCTTTATTCTTTTTTATATTTGGGCATATTGCCACCATTTAAAATCATCAAAGCAATAATGGCTCAGTTTACTCAATCATCTGACACACTTCTTTAAATGGGTTTATCAGTTCACAAATGTATGTTTTTTGCCATTTAATATGTTTTCTTTAAAAGTGTAAATCATAGTAATCTTAAAAAAGGTAATTTATTTATTTTAATTTAGATTTCAATGATGAATGACTTGATGAAATTCAAGCAGTTGGGCACTGAGGATTAAAGTCGGATAATGCCTCCATAAACTGTGTGCATCAGGTGCTGCTTTTGTTGCTCCGAACAACAATAACTGAGTTCATATTGTTTATAGAACACCAGCATGCACCTGTGACCTTCTCCTCACACATTCACATCTCTCCCCACAACCCTTTCATCTCTCACCCTGTCCCTCCGTGGAGGCGCATCACAGCTCGTAAGGCTGCTAGTGTTAATGATACACACTGCTCTGTTTGACATATGGAACATTATTATTTTGGCATCAGTGCAGAAACCGGAGTATTGTGTATACCAATAACAAAGAACTTCCAACAATGCCTAGTCCAAACGATGTACAATTCAGCACACAGGCCTCAGTATACTTCATCAGATTATTTTAATCAACTTGTTTTAGTTGGGCAGCTACCAAGCACCTCATTAGTTTCATCTGTACACATAGAAAAATGTTTAACTGAACAATTCAATGTAACTGATCCCTATTAGATACGTCAAAACAACATAGCATACACTCAGGCCTACAAGTTTAAAGGTGGGGTATGTAATTTTGGAGAAACCAGCTCGAGTGCGCTAGAATATGAAAGTACACAACCGGAAAGAAATCTGCCTCTTCCTTCAGACTTCCTTACAGAGCCCCTCCCCCAACACACACGAACGCGCACATGACCAATGAGGGCACGAGATAAGTTTGTGCACAGATGGAAGGCTGACAGGCAGGTAGGCCATCCAGTTATTTTAGCCGGGCCGGCTCAGATGATTGGTTGTGCTTTTTACAGCGCCACGGCTTCCACAGATGAATCTTTTTTATGTATTTATTGTCAAAGCATTTAATATATTCATTGCTATCGGGATGTTAAGAGCATTCCATGGAATATAACAAAAAGGGTTTCTGAAATAAATTACATACCCCACCTTTAAGGTAAAAATACTTCAAGTACCACTGAAAACTGAAGTGATGTACCTGGGGAAAATAGACTACGATATAAGGGATCAGTGGCGTCGCCTGGCCTGGGCATCCGGGGCTTTAGCCCCGAATGTTTTTTCTGTAGCCCCGGACAATTCTCCCTCAATAATATAATATATTAACCGTGCTTTACGTGAACCTCATCATGACACAAGAGAGGACAGCAGCACTGTATTTTCCCGTGTTCAGTGAATGCAACAGAGGCATGACACCAGACCAATCAGAGAGTTGCATGAAAATAAACGTGTGCTTGTGTCATTCAAGCTTGGCTCTGTGTGTGTGTGTGGCAATAGCGCATTTAGTGTGATTGAGAGAGGGAGAGAGGAGAGAGAGGGGGAGGGAGGGAGGGAGGGAGGGACCGTGCCAGCATGGACCGTGTTGTTAGCATCTGGTTAGCTAGCTGCACTATAAGGAGCTGTTTGTTCCACAAGAAGCTGGAGGAGAGTCCTCTCCTCTCAGACTGAGAGACTCAGGTGAGCTAAAGGACTCTCTGAGTGTTTAGATAGTTAACTTTAGTCTAAGTTATCTCAGTGGGTCTCAAACGGTTTGGTCACAAATTATTCAAAAGATTATTTCCGCGGCACACCTTCATATGATCATTATAGTTAGAAAAAAAATAAGAGAATAAAGGAAAAACAGTTATGAAATACTATATGGCAGTAAAACAAGAATAGAGTTTAAAAGGGGAGTGATTAGTAAAATATCCATAAAGAAAAAGTACATCTGTTTACAGTTCTGCTTCATAAGGGTGTTGAGAGAGGTATCCATAGATCTCTTCATTTTGCTCTCAAAGTGCACCAGATTGATGCATTTAACTTCAATATTTAAAAACAAATCTTCCCGGGGGAGCATCCCCCCGGACCCCCCTAGAGGAGGTGAGCCCCCCACTCATAAAAAATACCACTTTACCCCTGCCTATATGCCGTGAGCTGATTATCGAGCCTTCATTGTAACAGTCGCGGGTGTACTGTGTGTGTGCGTGTGGGGAGTGTTGCAGTGAAAAATGCCACTGTAGTGCCGCCGCCACTGTGGGCTAAGCCCCGAATGTTTTCAGGTCCAGGCGACGCCCCTGTAAGGGATAATGACAATAAGTACATTTTTTACATTTAAAGGGTGGCAACCAAAAAGTCTATCACAAGGAAGTGGATGAGCCAGGAGGCTCCGACGCAGGGTGAGTGGACGGACGTGATTCATGAGATATAAGAAATGGAAAAGTTGACATATGCACTGAGACCACAGAGTGAAAAGGTTTGAGAAGAGAGAAGATAATCTGAGAATTCTTAGACAAAATAATTCTGACTTTCTCTGACTTGAATCTCAGAACTCGCCCTAATTCTCTTCAGTAGTTTGAAGTCCAAGCTGACAATCATCCAAAACCTCAGACAGATTTCAAGAGATAGCACAGCAGATGTAGGACCGACCTGTCTGATGGTGCGGGCCACCAGGCTCTCCAGAACCGGTCCTCGGTCCTCATGTAGGAGGTGGACTTCATCCAGGATGAGGAGACGCACGATCTGGGAGAGAGCCACGTCTCCAACACTCTTCCTGGTCACTACATCCCATTTCTCTGGAGTCGTCACCAACATCTGGAAAACACACATGGAGACATTGGACCTGGATACTGCTTGTCTGACAGCACATTTATAACAATTCACTATAAAAGGACACAAGTTAAATAAACGACCATAAAATGCACAATAACCCAAAAATTCAGAAATGTCATTTTTTCTAAAAACAACATAAAACTAACATAACATTAACATGAGAAATACAAAAAAGTGGAATGAGGAAAGATGTATACATGTACAAGCAGTTCTTTTTGCATTTGTTATAGTAAGCTAATGTTGACCTACTTAGTTTCTGTAACTCAATGCTTACTGACATTTGATGTAAAGGCCTGATCATGTCTGAATGTCTTGAATATGCTAGTAAGTAAATACACTTTAAGAATGTTATCCTAAAAAATAAAGTGTAGCCAATGGGGAGGTGCCTTGATCTTGCATCATCTCTAATATCCAGCAGGGGGAGACTTCACTGGTGGCATGAGCAAGCATGTTTGTATAAAGGTCTATGAGAAAAGGACCCTTTTTCTCACTTGATTTATTACCTCAGTAAACATTGACCACATGAGTTGATAGTCTCAATCCCTATTCTCTTGTGTGATTAAATACAGGATGACAAAAAGACAACTGTTGTCTCTTACAGTTACATACAAAATATACATTACTTATTTATTATAAGTTGGAATCTATATGCCTGATTCACTTGTTCTTTTTACAAGTATGTGCTCATGTGTTTCAGTGTTGGTTTATAGGCTACTGAAAAAATATGCTTCATGAAAGGCAGCTATTCCTATAGATACAATCTCTGAGCAGACACATACATATTGTTTTCTTCTTCTATAAGGTATCATTGTTCTATTGTCTTACATTATACACTGAAGTAAAAAACATCTTATTCATATTTATTTTCCCTTGTAATCCAAAATTAATGGAAAGTAATCAGGTTACATTACTTTGATACTTTGATACTCAGATTAGGTTACAAGTAAATAGTAATTGTAACAGAGTTCTTAAAGCAACGCTTCCAACCCTGCTTCTATTTTGGTGATTTAATGGACGGAGATTATATTTGCTTTTGACACAAAGGAGGGAAAAACCCTGTAAACAAAAACACCTGCCTGACTCTCCTATGGAAGTCCAATAATATTCCTGAACACAAGGTTGTGACAACTAGTCACAGCTGTGTGTGTGATGTTGCCAGAAGTTTATGTTTGTAGTCCTAAAATGATTTTATATAAAACATATTGAAATAATTATTGTTATGAGATTATTGATGAGATTATGATCTCCACAATTTCCTGCTCACTTAACTGAATGACACAGCCCATAAAACCCAGGGCAACACACCCAGAGTCCCTGCACAATGTTGTCCGCTCATGGCTCATCAATGCCCAATTGCCCATAGCTGGGCTCATTACAATGCAGATAGAAGCACCTAAATCACAACGGCACAATAACAGGTGTGTGACTCACATTACTCACATCTTGTGCGCTGGGTTACATTAGTTCCACAGTGTTTACCACATGTATGTCAATATCCATCTATGATCCAGTACAGTCACAGTAAGTATCAGTTTGGATGCTGGGGTGTTCTGTGTGATGTGATCAACAATCAGAATACTTGAAATGCTTTTATTTTTTTATTTTTCTCTTAAGGCCCGGACACACCAAGCTGACACCAAAGAACTGACACAGACGGACCCCCGACTGTTGCGTCGCGTCGCCTCGCGTCTCTGCGTCTTGGCCATGTGTCGCACTGGAACACATCGCAAAGACTTCAGCCGACGGCCAAGAAGCACGTACGAACTGCGCATGCGTGAGTGGCAATAACTCTCCTTACCAGCAGGCGGCGGTAGTGTGTATTCGTCATTCAAAAGAGGCAACAACCGGAAGACAGACTGCGTGATAACCGAGAGAAGAAGAACAGACTGCGTGATATAAACAAACAACAAATAGCGTGTGCGTTCCATTTTCACTCTACAGCGAGAAGCTCATGGGGCTTTCCTGAACCTGTGTCGAGAGCTGGGGTTAAAGGAAATCTCAGATGTGCCTTCTTAATAGTTTGTTTGGGTCCCTCACTTCCATTTCGCTTCTCATGCACTGATTCGCTAGCTGAACAGCCAATCAGAGTGATTTCTTTTGCCGACAGCCTTTGGCCGGCGGGTTTTCGGCCGAAAAGGTGTCGGCCCGGCTGAATAGACCCGACGGTGCGGGACACACCAATCTGAGTAGGGCGTGTCGACGCTCATCGTCGGCCTGACGCCCATCGACGCCCAAAATCGTCTTGGTGTGTCGGGCCTTTAGACTAGCTCAATACAACAGTATCAACATGTCCCCTGTATCAAATATCAATACACAGCGTCTTTGAGAATTGCTTATTTCCTATAATTCCTTTGCAATTGTATTCTCTTCTCAAGAAAAAGCATTATAATGCATAATTAATTGAGTGTGAACTGTTTGCCAACCTGTCCGTGGGTGTGCAAATTCCTATTAAACCCTTTCTGTAAAAGCAGTTCATTAAATCCTCTCTAGTTTGCATTTAAATCAATCTATGCAGCCATTAGAGGCTGGCGTGCTCACAGAAAAGGAAGCGCCTGCTCCTAATTGGAGCTGCTGGTTAATCTAAATGGAAGCTCTGGCAAATGGAGCACAGGCCAAAGTGCTTTCTTAATTGCCTCACAAATATACACAAGGAGGTGCAGAGAAAAGGGTTTGGCTCCATTGGGTTATTTAGCCTGTTTATCAGTCAATCACAGCGGGACTGAAATAAATCCTCTAAATCCACTGATTCTTAGTTTTCATAGAAGATGTTAATGTTTCTCAGAGGTGGCAATTAAATCAGAGAATGGGTTCATACACCTGTAAAGAAAACAATCCTGAATCCTGAATATAATTCAATAAAGATGAAGAAAAGGAAGGTTTTCACGAAATCAGGGTGGCTATTTTTAAAACATGCAGTTTCTGGATTACTTTTTAACTATTAAGCCCCATATGGTTATGTATTCATTTTTTATTTGGAGAATATAATCAGGATTCTGACTTTAATTTCAGGATACTTAATTGTTTCTTTATGGTGCCCGAAACTGTGTGAACGCAGTTTTAGAATTCTGACTGTTTTCTGGAATTCTAACTCTAATCTCTGAATTCTGACATGTTTCTCAGGGGGAAAAAATCACTTTTGGTCAGATAAAATGTTTTTAACATGCGAGTCTTCTGCACATCCATGCCTCTGCTTTGGTCAAATGTACCCTGATGCCAGGCAGAATGATGCGGAAAGTAAAACTGTGTCCTCGTGAAAATAATTGTTTATTCTGAGCAGTAGTTTATTTCATTAAAACATTTTATCAAACCTTGGATAACGAATTGTAGTTGAACCCGTCAACAATGAAGATTAGCCCCGAGCGGTGTGAAGTGGTCAAGCTGAGAGGTTCTTTGAGTCAATAATCATGTTTTTCCTTGTTTAACAGAAACTCAGCAGCTGTCAAACTAAATGGAGGGAAAGCTGATGGTTGCAGTCAAATGGTTCCCAATTAGAGCTACCACAACTCTACTTATAAAAGAAAAAAGATGTGTGGAATACTCATTAATGAGTGATGCACTTTTTCTCTGTGGAAGGGTCACCATACCGATGTGCAGCTTTGTGTAACGCAACTTTAAACACCTAACGACTAATTATTCATGTTACTGAGTGAGTTTCTCACTGGATAATCACAGTCAGGGTCACGGCTCAGTACAGTCTGACATTTCACTAATGACTTGTAATAACTGTTTTTGAGTTGCTACTAGTGGTTGCTCTTTTATTTAAACCCAACAATAGGAGGGCAAAATTGGCAGAATTCCATCAGCAGCTCTTTCAAATTCGTTGCATGTGACTTCACCAAAAAACATGCCACACACTCCTCTCCTTCTGGCAGAGAGGCGGCGCCTCGTTGGAGGTCATTCAATGATATTTCCTCTCCGGACAGAGCAGGGGGGGGGTCCCAGGACGACAACCACCCGCACACTGGCATCCACATGGCACCATCCCTCCAAACCCTTTCTGTTTCCATGGTAACCGGTGCAGCCATGAAGAGAGGAGGATGTGGGAGGAAGAGGTGGGTGGGAGGAGGATGGAGTGTGGGCTTTAGTGAAAGACATTTACTAGATTGCGATGTGTGAACAACTAACGGCTTGTCAAGGCAAAATGGTAATGGGATCCTTCTTGGTGCAGCATTATCATGTTTGTGTGTTTGGGGGGGGGCCTTATGTTCAGTCCTCCTAAGAATACAACTAACAAATTAAGAAGAAAACCATTTAATTATAATGATAACTGCTCTTTCCTTCTGTTCAGTGGATGTTGTGGGACATTGCAAAGAGTTAGAGGAATAACATATCTTTAATACAGGTACATTTATTCTTTGTTGACGGGTGGGATTTTTTGAAGTTGTTAGTTGTTTAGATATTTGTTTACCTTTTTTCCTGGAAGTGGTTTATTTGATTTGTGATCGTTTATTTAGCAGGGACAATGCACAGTAATGAGAACTTAAAACATTAAAATGTGTCAAGCGTAACAGTGCCAGATTTAGCTTTGAGCTCATTTCCATCCGCAGTCCCTCACATAAAACATTTAAGAAGATTACATTTTACAAACATAGGCAAAACAAAATACATGATATGCAAATAGTTTAAAGGGGTCTGATGTATCATGGATGTATAAAGAGAACTAGATACAGCATTGGAGGCGGGGTCACATTTCATCCTATGAAAGTTGCTCAGTGGCGCATGAAGCCAAAATGGCCTGAATCTCAAGAAAAAGTATCCGTATCTGGGCCCATAAACTTGCATTTTCTTTAAGCCCCGCCTCCAATGTGCAGTTTCACAGCTGGTCTCGGCTAAGTCAGATAATTGGAGAGGGAAAATACACTATATAGACAAAAGTATTGGGACACTCCTCTTAATCATTGAATTCAGGTGTTTCATTCAGTCCCATTACCACAGGTGTATACAATCAAGCACCTAGCCATGCAGTCTGCCTTTACAAACAT